ACTACTCCTCTTATCCAACCTAGCTTCAATACATCAAATTCCCAAATTATGTTCCATGATTGATTCTCTCAAAATTAGATGAACTCTTTTCACAGCAACTTTAATCATTCTTCTTAGCAGCATTTATCCTCGGATCGGCGTGGGCCTAAATATCTATACAAAAGACCTTAGGTTCAATGAGAACTTCACACAATCACGCAAACCCCCAAGAGTAATGGGCGCGTATTACCTTAGGGGCATTCATGAATTTAATCCACAGACTCAAAAAATCATCTTAGGCCTGGCTACTACCTAACCTGCCTCACATTACTTACCGAAACCTAGGGTAGCTAAGCTCAAGATCATTAGTTAAGATACGCACATGATTCATTTCAACAACCGGGAATTCGAATAGCGCTGACATAACTGAGCTTGATTGTCTTAGTAAAGAATTGTTACTCTATCCATGGTAACAAGCACAAATAAAACTGGAGCAATAGATAAAAAACTTAGAGGTTTAAGATGCAAGGGTCGCTCTTCTTACTCCCCGGTTTAGTCTGCAATTTCTGGTTATCTTCCTCAGCCCTCACGACCTCACCCTCTTAAAACTAAAACCTAGTTTATAATGGGGGCCAAACAAGTGGCCTTACACTAAGAAACCTTTGATTTTCCAAGTCAGTTCCTACTAGAAAAGGTAATCTAAACTAAGTTTCCTAAACCGTCCAAAACTGTCCTGAATCCCACTTGCGAATGCACTTTGGCAGCCGTTTTGACCTCCAAATTGCGTACTAACCACTGCTTTGGAAATCCTTCTGGATGGGTTCTTTGTCAGCCAGTATATCGTATGCCCTCCTCGCTGTCGTATGAATGTTTTGGCCTAAAATACCTGCTGCCTCAGTAATTCTTCCGGGAATGGATTTTAATGCTGACTTGTCTAAATTTAAAAATGGGCACATCCCCTTTCGAATTCGTCAAATTTATGAAAATATTCTGGAATAAACTTCAAAGTCGTCTCCCCTCCCATCTCCAAATTGGATCATGTCAAAAGATCTATTACGATGGAATATTTGCGAATTTATACATCTCCTTGGCTCATGCTGAAAAACATGAAATACCTAAAAACTCAGCAGCTTTAGTCCAAATTAATTTCACAAAACTAAGTAAAAAGGATATAAAGTCTGTGAAATTATGACCTATCGGTACTTGGTATTCCAAGACTCTGCAGATGCGTCTCAGCTCTGACCTAAAAGGTCCCCTGGGCCTGTCGGAAATGCGGCCTCGGGGTGTTTTTACCTATGTTTCCCGACCTGCAGGATGCGGCTCTGTTTAAATTTGGGCTTCCGCTGCCTGCGAAGATAGAATTGACCAACGGATTGACAGTGAAAGTGAAGGATTATCCATGGATATTTGATGGGAATTAATAGAATTGCTGGTCAGGAATAAGGGAATGCCTAGTCCTGATTGAATTTAAGTTTTGAAATGCTTCTAAACAGGTTTTAAGATGATAGTATATTACAGTTCACCATTTATTTTCTTACTCAAATCTGTTTTTTACAAGTAAAAGAGGAAAATATATTCATATACACAGATATTCCACTTTCGTGTGTTGTATATAAGATATTATGTAATACTACTATTTATATGAGTCTTACTGTTGAGTTTCGAAGCGTAGATAAAAGTGTCTTCTTCACTTGTTTGGTTTTATTGTTTTATTTTTCTTTATTGGTATTTTAATTTAAATTTTATTTACATCTTTCACTTTTTATTGTTTATGTTATCCTATACATTTAGCAAAACAATATATAGATAAATTGATCTTATGCCTAGAGGACAGTCTAATAAAGTTGCCTACATATGTTTTGAGAGACTGTTTGTGATTGGGAAGTTGAAAACGTATGTGCCTTCTAGAGCTTGCGAGAATGGCTTTTTGCAATCCATTACATGAAATTACATTGGCCTTGATTCCTTGATAATGTTAGAGGTACCTAATGTGACAGGCGCAGCCACGAGTTGGAGTGTTTGAGATCGTCTATATGTACATTGCTGTTTTGAAGGTTGATATGAATTTTTTTATTCGCAGCATGATTTATTTGATCCTTTTTTGAGGCCTGAGGCCAGAATTGATATGTGCTTGACCTGCTTGATAGAATCTTAATGCATTTTGAACGCTGGGATAATCTACAATTTTTGTTTGACAAGATGGAACTTCTGTTTTGGGAAACGATGCAACTTATAGGGAGACTCTGCCGATCTTCTCGAAGATAGTCTAACTGATAGAAAACTTGCTGGTTTCTAGTTTATAAGGTGGCAATTTGTTCATTTTCCGCATTCGCCAGGTGTTCGGACACCACATGAGGTTTGTCTCAGCTTCTCAAGGGAAATTTGGGTTGGGTCTTGTCATGAAGCCTTGCCAACAACTCATTGCTTTCCGGCCACAAGCCTTGCGAAGATAGCTTCGTGGGCCGTGTCTTGCTCATGACCATGAAGGCTAGTGAGAGGATTGCGGTCCGGCTGTGAGCCATACCGGGAGGACTTATGCTCATAGCTAGAGACACTGAGGCGCAGTTGCCGGTCCTCACCTGCGGGTCTCTTTCTCTTCGTGTGGCTTTGGCCCGCGCAAATTCGTCGTTGCAGTGGCGAGCTATCTCCTTTGTGTGCTTTCACCCATCAGATTTTGGTGAATGCTTTCGGCTGAGTGATGAATAGAGAGGGAAACCGGATTCCTTTGATTCACGAAGGCACGTGTGAGTATCCACTACTCGCGCTCAGTATTAAATATTTTGCCGTGCAGATAATCCGGGCCTCCAATTTAATGGATATTTCGGGGGATATTCGCGATATCGTTTTAGGTATCACCGGAAAAAAAGCTAAAATGACGATATAGGCTTTGAACCATCTATTTTTTTGGTGCAAAACCTCCTCAGGATTTTTTTATCCTTATCACTCATATACTGTATTGACTTAAAAAAACTTCAAAATTTTACTACTAATAAGATACATAGGATGAATATAAAGTGGTATGTATCTATTAATGAAAAGTTTGAAAATAAATTTGATTAGAAATGATGCCAACCGTGCATATCCATATAATATAATACTAATTATTTTGTTTAAACCAGCTGGATTTACCAATGTAGATGTGTCCCCACTTACACTAATGAAGAGTTCCTATAGGGTCCAAATAATGAGGACAGCCATCCTGATTCATCCAATAGTTCCTTACCGAGTCAATAACTTGAAGCCAGTTTGCTAAACATTTGAACTTGTTCATATAGTCTCCCTCTGTGCTTCCCTACTGTTTCTCCCATTATATTATAGTTAAATTAACCCACTAGTAGACTCCTAATCCGGTTTCACTCATCTTTGGCACCTATAATAGTTCCACGATCATTCAGATCATGACATCACCATCGCCCATCACAGATTCTTTGAGTTAGACTAGTCTAAGTTCATTATGCTCATGATTCCAAAACTGCTTCGATAATGTCCCTCTCCATATGTTGGAGGATGTGGAGTGGACTGTGCAGAAGAGTTCTTCATATAAGAAATTTTAGGGTTATGGGTGAGTAGCTATTTTTTGGGTTCTCAACCTTTCTTTTTAATTGCCTTCCAACTTCATAATTTTTTTTGGGTTATGTTTGGTATCGTCGCAAAGGGATCGCGGGGATATCCGGAAAAATATCCGCATACTGCTCGACAAAATTACGGGGGATCGCCTTATTTGGGGTATCGCCTTATCGGGGATATATCATGGATACATGGGAGATATGGTCTTACCTCCCAGTCTCCGATGTCGACAGTTTGAATATCCGATACTATCCCGGTCCGATATACTCGCTTCCGATATATTCACTCCTGTGCCTCGCCTCTCATGACACGTCACCAAAAATTTTGGAGCTACAATTCCACACGGAGAATATCGATCGTGTAAGATTCCTCGTCCTTCGCCTCTTCCTTCTCTTCTCCTCCTCTTCTTTCCTCCTACCATCCTCTGTGAGATAATAAGGAGTAAACTAGACCACATATGGAGGTGTGTTGGCCCAAGTCCTCTAGTGCCTAAGTTAGTTCAATTGGATCTTCGAGCACTAGCGTAATAGATGGAGTTTTCCCCCTCTCAGGGGGAGATGTTTGGGGTGGCCTGTACTTCAGGGGCGCACTGCGTGGCACTGTGGCCGGGTAAGAAAGAGGATGAGTAGAGTGTCAACGCAGAAAGAAGAGGAGAGAGAGGGAGATAGGAGAGAGAATGAGTTTTTGGTTTGGGTGGAGAAGGTTACCTTCAAATGTACATGAACCCGACCCAAAATTCCCCTTCTGATTTGAGTCGAACCCTCACATGTCCGACACCTAGCAAACTGTCGAAGCCACTTGACACTTGCCGCTTCTAACGAAATCCAAAGTTTCTTTAGAGCTTTGACTTCCTGCCAAAAATGCAGCAATTCTCCCGTATAATTGCTCATTTTCAACTTTGCACCTTAAAAAACAGTCCAATAATAAATAACAACCATTCCAGCATGCATCAATAATAGAATTCATGCACCAATACCTCAAATCTTTCATGTCATCAGGCCTCTTTAAATCATTACTAAATGTGTTTTGCCATCTGGCGTCACGCTCGGATCCTCCACTTTATGACAACATAACTTACTGAAGAGCCCGTTCAATCACCTTTGGTCGTTTGCTGGCCCGCACCTTCAGGTAATCTAGGTTGCCTACGTACCCTTAACAATGGATCAAGCCACATGTATTCTTTCCCGTCTGTTTACTTGAACCAATTATGCATTCAACTCTTTTCTTTAACCACCTGTTTACAAAATCAAATAAAAGACAAATTAAAAGCGAAATAAATATGAGAGGAGAATACTTTTTAAAATGTGAAAAGAACACAGGGAAAAGAACAAAACGGCAGAGAAAATTAGGTACTCGCATGGTCCAAATAAAACTTTTCACTTACGAAAATCATCGTAAAATTATACAAATCCTTAAAACGATTCAGAAAACCCTTAAATCCTTGTCGTTTAAGTATGAAGGTGGTGGCGATGAGAGTAAGTGGTGGTAGTGTGGCCGACGAGGGGCGGGGCCATCTGCATCGACTGATGATGTTATCTTGCATTGGCAGTGGTATTGGTGGTTACGTTGGGGGTGATGGTGGGGCTACTATAGTGGGGGTGGTAGTGGTGGTGGCGGCGTTGGCAAATGGGGGGTGATGGTGATTGTGATGGGTGGTGGTGGTCGGTGGTGATGGGATGGTGTGAAGTATTGTGATGAGTGTGGAAGATGGCGTGGTAGTGGTTGGCCATTGGCAGGCCCAATTACAAGGACTTACTATGGCGAGTCCCCCACTGACCAAAACGTTGCGCCGTACATCCCATCCAACTCTTTTTTTTTCATTTTTCTATTTTTTCTTGTGTCCTTCTTAGGTGAATGCCCCCACTTGCCCATCTAATACATACCTTAATCGCCAAGCTTATATTAAAAAATTCAAAACCCTATGTATAAAGAAGATAGAGATCCCATCCAAGTTCACTCATTCTATAATTTTGATGGAGAACTCAGTCGCCTACACCTCGTTATTTCACAAAAAGTCTGCAGCCAACACAAAAATCACTCCCCTACTTTTCAATTGATTTACAGGCTAGTACGTCCTTTTGTTTTTTACAAATTTATTTCATTATATTATCTTGTTTATTGCTTTTATTTGTAATGATGATGATTATTTAATTATTATCTATATATATCGTGAGTGAAAAATAAATAACTATCTAATGACAGTTAAGGAAATTATTTTCAAAAGAAATCCAAGTTGGAGTTGCACGACATATTGGGCGTAAAGTGATTATAAGTTCAAGCACAGTCCATGATAGAACTCATGGCAATCTTCATTTTTATTCTTGATTTATGACTCTGATTTAGATTACTATGAATATTCCGATTATAAGGCCCTTGCCACTAGAAAAAAAAAATCTACTTCTCTCTCTTCTTCACTTTCTCTCGCTTTTCCACGACCTTTTTCCTTCTTTATCCTTTCCCCCTCCTCGCTACTTTTTTATCCTCTCTTAATTCTATTCTATGTTTTTGCTTTCCCTCCTACTCCTATCTTCCCTCCCCCCCACCCTCTCCCCTCCTCCTTAGTCTTTTCTCCTCCTTATTTTTCTTAATTTCTTATCCATTTTCCTTACCATTCCCCTATCTCCTACCACCGCCTGTTCTGTGCTTCGCATACTCTGCCTAATCTTATCTTTTTTTCGCTTCGTAAAACTGCTCCAGTTTTCTCAATTCGTCTCTGGTCTCTTGCTGTTCTTTAGTGTCCCTTGTCCCCCCTTTTTCTTTGTCCTTCCCTTCTACCCCCCTCTTTTCGTTTTCGCCTCCCTTCATCCGTTTTTCCACCGCCCTTTCTCTATCCCTCTCTTTTTCTCTTATGGCCCTTTTTCCCCCACTTCCCCAATCTCCTTTTTCTTTGCTCCTACATTCTGCCTTCCCTCCCTGTCCTCTCTTTCCTTTCTTTCTTCTGTTCTTCTTTAAGTTTTTCCATTTTAAATTATTTCTTATGTTTATCTTATATGTTTGGGATCGTAATACTTGAATTTTGTGTGTCATGTAGGCAACATATGATCCACATCCAGACCGCTTATCCAAAATTTAGAAAGAGAACAAAGTGGCTGCAGGATAAGCACAATAGCACTTTCATTCAATGGCTACGCTTCAAGGTATATGTTATTGAATAACATATTGGACTTTTAATTTTCTTCTTCTATGTTAGATTGAATTAAGTTATGATTAATTTGCAGGTTCAAAGTGAACTTAATGAGGAAGACAATCATGGCGTATCAGAAAATTTAAGGTGGCTAGCAGCTGGTCCAAACATGGCAGTGCCATTATATAGGAGCTATCTCATTAAAGGTATTAAATTCAACATCAAGGCACAAGATGATGTGCGGACAACTCAAAATAGTGGAGTTTATTTACTTGCACATACTATGCAAGTTGCTAGTGCCAAGGATAAAAACCCAATTCTCTCAAATATGGGTTTCTATGGTGTCATTCAAGAAAATTTGGGACCTTGACTACCAAAAGTTTACAATCCCAGTCTTTAGGTGTGATTGGATTGATAATACTTCTGGTCTTGTAGTGGACGAACTTGGATTTACCCTTGTAGATTTGAGTAAAATTGGACATAGGAATGACCAATTTGTTTTGGCTTCTCAAGTCAAACAAGTATTTTTTGTTGACGACCCGATGCATCGTGGTTGGTCGGTAGTGTTATCAATGCCTAATAGAGAATATAATGATGTTATTGGTGATGATGTCTTAGGTGATGTGAGAATTGAGTGTGAGCCATTTACTAGGGGGATGCCAAATGTTGACACATTTGATGAAGTGGTGGTTGAGTTAGGGAGTCAAAATATTCGAGATGGGTGTGAAGATATATGGGTTGAATGATGCTTTATGTAATTGGCAGTGTATGACATTAATTTTGTAATATATTGTAATGTGATTTCTTCACTTTCATTATACAGGTTTTGGCCACAAAACAATCAGTACAAAAATTACTGGTTCCAGATTACAAACACGACGGTTTTGATAAAAATGTGAAAAACAAACGTCTGTTCTAATAAATAACGACGTTTTGGAGCATTCAACGACCGCAATATATTTACCGACGTCTTAAAGCAAAGTAACAATGAAGAACCACGACGCTATTGTGAAACAGTTATCCAGGATAACACGTCGGACAAGCATAAAGAACCGCCATGTAATTCAAATAACACGACTCCAATCCCATAACACCGACGTCTAAAAGACGAGAACTTTAACCTGAACGTTACAAAAGACGACGTCGTCATGAATTTACCACGTCGCATGTTCTTTCATAAACGAAGTGGAAAAGGATGAATTCACGACGGTATTTGAAAGTCCATTAAATTTGTCGACGTTAAGATTTATGAATTAGACGACGTTAATTTTTTAATGAAGACGTATAAATTATTAAACACGACGGTCTTTTTCATGGTACCGACGTTGTATATAGACGACAACGTCGTCCTCATAAATTACTGTGTCGTAATTAATGACCCCATCATTTTTTCCACGTCGTTTATTTTCAAAATATGACGTATAAATTCTGTAATACGGCTCTCATTTATTTGGAACCGACGTTGTTTATTCATTTCAACGTCGTCTCAGTAAATACATACGTCGTAATTAATGAACCTGACATCTATTTCCACGTCATAATTCGTAGAAAAATCGAAGTGGAAAATTTATTTTACGACGGTATTTGAAGTCCATTAAACTTGTCGACGTTAAGATATATGCATTAGACGACGTCAATTTTTTAAATGAAGACGTATAAATTATTAAACACGACGGTCTTTTTAATGGTAACGACGTTGTATATAGACGACAACGTCGTCATTATAAATTACTGTGTCGTAATTAATGACCCCATCATTTTTTCACGTCGTTTATTTTCAAAATATGACGTATAAATTCTGTAATACGGCTCTCATTTATTTGAAACCGACGTTATTTATCAATTCAACGTCGTCTCTGTAAATACATGCGTCGTAAGTAATGACCCTGACATCTATTTCCACGTCATAATTCATAGAAAAATCGAAGTGGAAAATTTATTTTACGACGGTTGTGGGAAATGTTGTGACGTAGTAGGTGTCAATAACGTCGTCTATTATGATTGTAAAGACGTCGTATTTATATTTGTCGTTAAATATTGTTTAACGGCGTCAAGTTTAAGTTCTCGTCGTTGTATGTTTATCTTGCGGCCATGTTCTGTTAATATATGTCATCTGTTTCCTTTTTAACGACGTTTTTTTGTTGGAGTTGGTCGTCTATTCTCATCCTCGACTGTTTTTTTATGTCTTTTTGCAGCACAAAGACGTCGGTTTTTATTTTTTGATGACGTTTTTTGTTTTAACAACGACGGTTATTCACCGTCGTGGTTTGGTTATGGAAAAGATGTCGGTGGATTCCACGACCATTTGAAAACAGAATACACGACGGTGAATTCCCGGTTGTTTTTTCCTTTTTTTGTAGTAGTGAAACCTCACACAAATGAACTCTCCCAAAACATTATGATGTTTCCTCAAGGTTTTGGACTCAATCCGATATCGATTGGTCCATGAAATTAAAGACCATTACGCTCGTACGAAGGTCGTTCTAAAAGGAGGGTTGGTGTAGTGCTCCATTTTAGAGCCATTGGATTTCACTAAAAAACTCCACCCAATGCCTCATCCCCAACATTATGATGTTCCCCCCAACTTTTGGGACTCTCTCTATATCGATTGGTCCATGAAATTGGACAATTCAGGTTCGTACGAAGTTCGTTCTGAAATGGAGTGGTTGGTGTATGCATAGTTTTAGCCATTGGATTTCACTCAAAACTCACCAAATGACTCCTCCCACCATATTATGATGTTCCCCAAGTTTTGGACTCAATCCGATATCGATTGGTCCATGAAATTGGACAATTCAGGTTCGTACGAAGTTCGTTCTAAAATGGAGTGGTTGGTGTATTGCATAGTTTTAGCCATTGGATTTCACTCAAAACTCACCAAATGACTCCTCCCACCATATTATGATGTTCCCCAAGTTTTGGACTCAATCCGATATCGATTGGTCCATGAAATGGACAATTCAGGTTCGTACGAAGTTCGTTCTGAAATGGAGTGGTTGGTGTATTGCATAGTTTTAGCCATTGGATTTCACTCAAAACTCACCAAATGACTCCTCCCACCATATTATGATGTTCCCCAAGTTTTGGACTCAATCCGATATCGATTGGTCCCATGAAATTGGACAATTCAGGTTCGTACGAAGTTCGTTCTGAAATGGAGTGGTTGGTGTATTGCATAGTTTTAGCATTGGATTTCACTCAAAACTCACCAAATGACTCCTCCCACCATATTATGATGTTCCCCAAGTTTTGGACTCAATCCGATATCGATTGGTCCATGAAATTGGACAATTCAGGTTCGTACGAAGTTCGTTCTGAAATGGAGTGGTTGGTGTATTGCATAGTTTTAGCCATTGGATTTCACTCAAAACTCACCAAATGACTCCTCCCACCATATATGATGTTCCCCAAGTTTTGGACTCAATCCGATATCGATTGGTCCATGAAATTGGACAATTCAGGTTCGTACGAAGTTCGTTCTGAAATGGAGTGGTTGGTGTATTGCATAGTTTTAGCCATTGGATTTCACTCAAAACTCACCAAATGACTCCTCCCACAACATTATGATGTTCCCCAAGTTTTGGACTCAATCCGATATCGATTGGTCCATGAAATTGGACAATTCAGGTTCGTACGAAGTTCGTTCTAAATGGAGTGGTTGGTGTATTGCATAGTTTTAGCCATTGGATTTCACTCAAAACTCACCAAATGACTCCTCCCACCATATTATGATGTTCCCCAAGTTTTGGACTCAATCCGATATCGATTGGTCCATGAAATGGACAATTCAGGTTCGTACGAAGTTCGTTCTAAATGGAGTGGTTGGTGTATTGCATAGTTTTAGCCATTGGATTTCACTCAAAACTCACCAAATGACTCCTCCCCACCATATTATGATGTTCCCCAAGTTTTGGACTCAATCCGATATCGATTGGTCCATGAAATTGGACAATTCAGGTTCGTACGAAGTTCGTTCTGAAATGGAGTGGTTGGTGTATTGCATAGTTTTAGCCATTGGATTTCACTCAAAACTCACCAAATGACTCCTCCCACCATATTATGATGTTCCCCAAGTTTTGGACTCAATCCGATATCGATTGGTCCATGAAATTGGACAATTCAGGTTCGTACGAAGTTCGTTCTGAAATGGAGTGGTTGGTGTATTGCATAGTTTTAGCATTGGATTTCACTCAAAACTCACCAAATGACTCCTCCCACCATATATGATGTTCCCCAAGTTTTGGACTCAATCCGATATCGATTGGTCCATGAAATTGGACAATTCAGGTTCGTACGAAGTTCGTTCTGAAATGGAGTGGTTGGTGTATTGCATAGTTTTAGCATTGGATTTCACTCAAAACTCACCAAATGACTCCTCCCACCATATATGATGTTCCCCAAGTTTTGGACTCAATCCGATATCGATTGGTCCATGAAATTGGACAATTCAGGTTCGTACGAAGTTCGTTCTGAAAATGGAGTGGTTGGTGTATTGCATAGTTTTAGCCATTGGATTTCACTCAAAACTCACCAAATGACTCCTCCCACCATATTATGATGTTCCCCAAGTTTTGGACTCAATCCGATATCGATTGGTCCATGAAATTGGACAATTCAGGTTCGTACGAAGTTCGTTCTGAAATGGAGTGGTTGGTGTATTGCATAGTTTTAGCCATTGGATTTCACTCAAAACTCACCAAATGACTCCTCCCACCATATATGATGTTCCCCAAGTTTTGGACTCAATCCGATATCGATTGGTCCATGAAATTGGACAATTCAGGTTCGTACGAAGTTCGTTCTGAAATGGAGTGGTTGGTGTATTGCATAGTTTTAGCCATTGGATTTCACTCAAAACTCACCAAATGACTCCTCCCACCATATTATGATGTTCCCCAGTTTTGGACTCAATCCGATATCGATTGGTCCATGAAATCGGACAATTCAGGTTCGTACGAAGTTCGTTCTGAAATGGAGTGGTTGGTGTATTGCATAGTTTTAGCCATTGGATTTCACTCAAAACTCACCAAATGACTCCTCCACCATAATATGATGTTCCCCAAGTTTTGGACTCAATCCGATATCGATTGGTCCATGAAATCGGACATTCAGGTTCGTACGAAGTTCGTTCTGAAATGGAGTGGTTGGTGTATTGCATAGTTTTAGCCATTGGATTTCACTCAAAACTCACCAAATGACTCCTCCCACCATATTATGATGTTCCCCAAGTTTTGGACTCAATCCGATATCGATTGGTCCATGAAATTGGACAATTCAGGTTCGTACGAAGTTCGTTCTAAATGGAGTGGTTGGTGTATTGCATAGTTTTAGCCATTGGATTTCACTCAAAACCACCAAATGACTCCTCCCACCATATATGATGTTCCCCAAGTTTTGGACTCAATCCGATATCGATTGGTCCATGAAATTGGACAATTCAGGTTCGTACGAAGTTCGTTCTAAATGGAGTGGTTGGTGTATTGCATAGTTTTAGCCATTGGATTTCACTCAAAACTCACCAAATGACTCCTCCCACCATATATGATGTTCCCCAAGTTTTGGACTCAATCCGATATCGATTGGTCCATGAAATGGACAATTCAGGTTCGTACGAAGTTCGTTCTGAAATGGAGTGGTTGGTGTATTGCATAGTTTTAGCCATTGGATTTCACTCAAAACTCACCAAATGACTCCTCCCACCATATTATGATGTTCCCCAAGTTTTGGACTCAATCCGATATCGATT